ATGTATTTATATTACTCTATTTTAAATATGTTTTATTTCATAATTTAGAGAAAGCTTTGGTTTAACTGTGTTTAACACAGAGACTAAAACAAACCACAGACTAAATTTTAAATTTTAGTTACTTTAATAATCTAAAACGATACATGCTCTTTATAAAGGAAAAAAGTTCAAATACAGAAAATTAACAAAAGAAAGAAAGTCTCTTAGAATTGAATTATTCAGAGGTCCCTGCAGTTAAGATTTTGGTGACCATCACTGAATATCTGTTATTGTATATCTACACATAAAGATAGAAATCGGTACATTTTTACATCGGTGGGATCATTCTTTTTATGCTCTTTTTATAATCTGTTCTTTTACACTCATTCATCCAGCAGATCTTTTTAAGCACCCTTGATGCGCAAGGCCCAATAATGGATTTGTTGCACCAGCTTAAATAAACTAAGAGAAACTTGACATGAGGGGACCCAGATACACAGAGCATGAAATTAGAGATTTAGGACAGCTCTTTGTTCATGTCCTTACTAACCCTGAGTTTTGCTAATTTACCGAAAGCGGTGTTAAATGCCTGCTGATAAGGGACCCTCCCCCATCTCTGCATTCTTCACATTCTCATTTAGAGGTCATTGAGCCTTTATTAAACTAGTGGTAGACCATCAGGGAGAGACTAATAGTCTTTATTCTTGGTCACAGGCTTAATCAGCCTTTGTCTCCCTGTCTACTTTTTCTATGTGCATCTATCAGTGTTTTGAAACATAACGTCATGTCCTTTGGTCCACTGAAGATTGATGTTAAAAGGGCTCATGGGGATCGTGCAGTTCAACCCCTTCTCTCATGCAAGGGGACATTAAAGCCCACGATGGTGAAGGGACTTGGTCAAGGCTGCACAGATATTGGGTGGCAGAGCTGCTCTGGACTGTCTAATCTCCTATGTTTCCCCAGTCCCCACATGTTGGTACAGGAGAAGTTAGGGTGAAGAAAGTGGGTTCCAAATTTCCTATTTCTTGTTCTCCATATGTGAGTTCTAATGCTTGTCACTTTCCAATGATAACTCCGTTAATACCTCCTAGAGGTATAAATTTTGACACTTCTTCCTTTGTGCCTACCTCCCTCTTTAAAATGTAAAAATTTAGGAAGGGACTATTTTTAAAAGGCAGACTAAATCTCCTCTTATTTAATGCTGCTGAATTGTACACTCACAAATGGTAAATTTCATGTTATGTAGATTTCACCACAATATAAATTTCTCCTTTCTTATTTTAGGGGACTGTATTGTGTTATTTATGGTGTTCCCTTCCCCTTCTCCAATGTAACCCTGTACCTGTGTACACTCCCTTAGGTAACTGGTAACTTACTTATTTTATTGGCAGGATAACCTCATTAGCAGAGTCTCAACTTCAGACCCGCCAACAAATTAAGAAACTGGAGGAGTTGCAGCAAAAAGTTTCCTACAAAGGGGACCCCATCGTGCAGCACCGGCCAATGCTGGAGGAGAGGATCGTGGAGCTGTTCAGAAACTTAATGAAAAGGTAACTTAGAATCCTGTCCCTTTCCGTCATCGCCCGCACCCCCCACCTCAAAAATCACATCCTTCGACAAGAGTCTGGCTCACTCCGGAGGCACAGGACAAAGACTGGTCCACTGC